TTTATGCACAATCCTCGGGAAGCTAGGTCAGCGGGGTTCTGCTTCGACATCACATAACGCCACTGATCAGGACGTGAACACTGGTGTATCATGGATACTCGCTTGGCTACGTAAGTCGGGAAACGTCGCGTCAAGCACCGTAGACGTTGCAACACTATCATGGAGTCGGTCCAAAAGATCACTAGGCATTCTAGATGCATTTCTTCGACTACTTGCGTCGCGAGTCGCATCAATAGGACAGCAGCAGTGAGCTCCAAACGGGGAATAGACACAGTCCGTTTAGGGGTGACTCTGGCCTTACCCAGAACTAAGCGGTATATGACTTTTTCATTCTCACCCACACATCGCAGGTATACGGCCGCCCCGTATGCTGCTTCTGAGGCACCTGAGAAGCAGTGTAGTTGGAGAGCAACCCTTCGGAATCCCTTAGGTGTTAAACAACGAGGTATAGATACACGGCTTCACTCCTTTAGCTCCTGTAACCATCGGGTCCAGGGATTGTTTTCTTCTTCGGATAGCTGTCCGTCCCATTCCAATTTCTGTCTGACAATGTCCAGAAGTAGCAGCTTTGGGTTAAGTAAAACTGGTGCTAGGATACCCAAAGGGTCGTAGACGGAGGCCGCGAAGGATAATATCTTTCTTCGAGTAGGGCTGCCTTCGAATTCCTTCAAGTCGAACTGTATACTGTCGTCGGTGGTATTCCACACCACAACAAGTGCACTTTTCAAGCAACCGTACTGGATTCTATGCTGTGATTCTGGAGACCTTAGTTCTTCTGGAGGTAAGGGTCTCAAGACGCACTCTTCATTACTGATCCACTTCACCAAACGGAACCCACCTGAATAAGTGATAGCCTTCAAGTTATCAATCCAACCTATGGCTTCTTCCTCAGTATCCACACTGAACAAGCAGTCATCAACATAAAAGCACTCGTTAGCTAGATCGATCACATGTTTCAGGAACTTTTCTGCATTATCAGCAATGGCTTGACGAAGCGCGAGATTCGCACAACTGGGAGAAGACGTGGCGCCAAAGGGGTGAACGGTCATTCGGTATGAGCTAGGTGAGATAGACATGTCCCTGTCGTCCCACCATAGAAACCTCAAACAACTACGATCCTCAGGGGTAACCTTTACTAGGTGGAACATAGCCTCAATATCGGAAGCGACAGCTATCGGATTCATTCTGAAGTGTAATAGTACTCCAACTAAGCTACTATTTCTGCTATCTTACCTGCTGAATGTCTCCAAACTTCAGTCAAGTTACCTCTAGATTTTCTATTCTTCACTCTTGCTCCCTATACCTCTTGTCTTTGATGAATCTGTTTTGATGCTTCACAGCCAAATCAAAATCACCATTTTTCTTTCGGTCAGGGTTAAGAAAACCGTTTGAGCATTTCCGCTCAAATGGTGTTGGTGCTACTGAAATTCCCTTCGTACATGTATTGTGACCTAATATCTAGCATGCAACATATAGCTCGTATCATTCTCAGCAAATTTCCCCGGCGTCCCTCCGCGGTATATGCTATCCTGACAGTTATGTCCACTTTGGCAACCAATTCCTAAGAGTACATGTATTCAGTTTCACAGCCGGATTTGTGGAATTCAAAACTCTGGTGTGCACTTTCAGAAGCATTCTATCGTCTTACAGCGCTGTAACTCCTGGTTATGGTCCTATATTCACTCCGGCTTTCCATCATTTTAGTAAAACGTGCTAGGTGTGCACTTATTTTTAGTTTTGTTCTGTCGCATGCTCCGTTTCCCCTTCTCCCTTCCCTCTTCAGCTGAGTACTCCCCCAGACTGCTGCAAATCGCCTCTTTGTTCCAGATTCGGTTGGTTTGGGCCTGCCGAAGGCTTGGCGTCCTCACCCACAATGGACAATTTAGCTCCGGCAATGGTTGTTGGGCACAGCTGTTTCCACCGTTTTGACTACATGCGTCCGCGTTCCGGACCAGGTTGAGGATCACCACCACCTGCCTCACCTACAAGGTGTTTTAAGGTTGGGTGCCTAGCGTCTAGTCAGTCCCACATCAAAGCGACCAACGCCTAATTAATCTAAAAAAGCCAAATCACTGCTTGATCGATTGAAGCCCCGGACCAAATGAACTTGTCTCCAGAAGCGAGTTGTATTTCAGCATAAAGTTCCTTTACCGACTTATTTTTTCTGGCTGTATTCCTTCCTTTCTATTCCTGTCCTCATACCTCCACCGTCAGGCAGCATTTGTTCCACAGATCGCCTCTCCGTATTTCCCCGCACTTTTGTCGTACGTCCAATTCTTCCGAGACCAGTTTTACCATTACTTCCAGTTCTAGTGACATGCATTTTCAATGCATCCTCCATCTTCCATAAATTCGTCAGTGACCTTGTCCGGTTTGTGTTCCTTTCACACTGTGTTTTCGTTCTGATCCCCACCATTTTTATTGTCTACCTATGTACTTACACTGTTATTGTACACATGCTCGCTCTGATCATTTGATCATGCCTTGTGCATGTCTCACGGGCTCCGTGAAATATACACCTATTATTAATATTATTATTATTTAGATCCGGTCCTGGCAATAATTGCTTATTGAGTGATGTTTCTTTGTCGGTGGCTTGGCAGTCAAACAATATGTAACTCCCAAATAGATCAACGAGCGGCGCTTCCGAATGTAGCACCCATGAAGTTATCTTCTCTGCGACTACCCAAAGTGGTAGCAAAGATGACTAAGAAGACCCCCACTGCGGTTGTACCTCCTACCAGCCGGCCCGGATCACACACCAGCCAACCCGCAGCCGCCCAACCTAAAACGCAAGCCCCGGGCTAGAAACGCCTGGTATACCCCGTAAACCCTCCGTTGCAAAAAACGCAGGGCGAACTCGGGACTAGAGCCCGAGTACTACCCCCAAGTTCTCGGCATTAATCACAGATCAGGCCTGCGGTTTTTTAGCCTGGGGCAAAAATGGGGTGAATTAACCTCGGAGTGCGTCCACTCCGACTGCGTAGCGATAACCGAAACCTGGTTTCGACCGAATGAAGATATCGAGTCGTTAAAACCGAAAGGTTTCACTACCTTCGGAACCGATAAGGTAGATAATCGCATAGGGGGAGGAGCACTGCTCATGATCAGCGAGCAGCTCCAAACTGAAACAGTCGCTCCCTTAAAC